TGGTCAAAATATCTCACTGCCATTATTTCGCATATAGGTGCATATGTACATATATGTGTGTAAAAATGTCATAATACCTATATTTCGGTGTATTTCCCCTCCGTAATTGGAATTCTGTGTAATTTTACTATGATTTACTGCAATAATTTAGCTAATTAATAATTATTATTACTTCAGTTTTTTTTTTTAAATATTATTTCTAAAAACATATTGTTCTTAAAACGCCTTAAAAAATTTTTTTTTGTGGCACTTTCATCTCGTTTTCGGCACTATTTTTGAAGACCATTTGGCACATTTTGAAATTTTGAAATTCCATCCCTGATCTTTATCATCCATCAACATAGTGTATCATCTTAATCTTTATCGTCCATCAACGGAGTCGCCGCCTGCATATTCATCATTAGTGCATCGGTTTGTCACCATCGTTAGCGCTATGTTTGTCAGTTAAATTGTCATCTTTGTAATATCAACACACGCAAGTTTAATTGGAATAAATAATTCATAATTTTATTGTATAACCAAACTAAAAATTGTCTTTGTCAATCGCAAGGATCGTTATAATTTGGCTCTCAAAGGCCTAGATACTTCTACCTTGGCTCAAATTAAAGGTCTTGAGTTGCGCTTATTGTTCGGGTGATATAAAATTGTATGAAGGATGCATTGCTGACTGCAAATCATAAAAAATGCAATATATAACGCATTTTTCAAATTGAAGGGTTACCATTCGATTCTCCATTACCCTTCGAATTACATAATTCGCCATGCAAAAGATTGAGAGTGAATTACCTCATTTGTGAGTAATTCAGATCCAATTACCATGCGAATTACGAACAAATCGCTGCCGTGTCTAATTTTAATCGGAAATTTTTCGAAACCAGTTTACAAATAAAAACTGGCACTTTATCTGAGTACTAAAACTAAAGTTAATAAATGTGTACATAACCAATTTAAAACAGACAAACATTTTTAGCAGTAACTTACATATTGCACCAATTTTGCAGCGAAAAAAAACAAAACGCAGGGACAGAGTACTGTCAAATAGAATTGGGAATGTGCCCGTGTGAATGAGGTAATTCGCGATCGTAATTGAAGGAGCGAACAATGTAATTCACGGTGGCGTGGGAAGCTCACTGCGAAAAATAAAATCTCGCGTTACATGAAATAAATATATGTACATATAAGTATAAATGTATATGATGATTTTATGAAATTTCCCACTGGGAGAGCTCGGCGCTCCTATAACTAGGCAATGCATTTGGTTTTCGACTACGTATTCTTAACTAAAGTAGACACATGTCAAAGGCATAAGCTTAAGTCTTTCAGCGCTTAAATTGTGGAACTGGCAATTGCATTGTGTATATGTATAACTATGCAAATGTATGTACATATGTAAATATATATGTAATTATACTCATTTATAGTACAAGTAGTTATCAACTACTTAGATATATGTACGTATATGCAAAATGGTAATTTTGAATAGTATTTCGATGAAATCAATTAAACAGCGAGTCCAATGAACAAATAAGTCAGAAGATGTTCAGATGAGGCACAGGTTATGCTGCTGTCATTCAACCATACTCCTGAAATCCATTTTACTTTCCAAACACTCCGTTGAAAAAACGTTTAATAATATGCAGTTTGTTCTCGCGACTCAATAAGATGATTACTGCATTGATGACTCATGGTAATCCGCAGAGATTGGTATGGCAGTGACCTCCCCTCGCTCAGATTGGCAGTGACGTAAATGAGATATGTTTCACCTGGCGTCAGATTAAAAATTGTATGCGTTTCAAGAGTTGCACTGCAAAGAAAAAAAAACAAAATACATACATACACTTGTTTACTTAAGGTGCAATAAACTCAGTTATTCCTGATTTCGCCTAGTATGTACTAAGTAAAATTTCTAGGGCAGTAATCAGCGGCCACTGTGGTGTAGTCGGTAGCAGTGCGCGCTTCCACTCCGCAGCGCCTGGGTTCAAGCCCTGGTCAGAGCTAAATCGCAAAAAAAATTTTGAAAAAAAAAGTTTTTCTTAGCAGCGGTCGCCGCTCGGCATTCAATTCGAAAAAGCACTAAAATCCAAGAAAAGTGGCGCTTTTCGCGAAAAAAGCACCAAGTTTTTTATTGGAGAATTTAATGGACTATGTATGCAAACAAAATTTTATTGTAGGTATGCCGATTCAAATCGAGTCGACGCTGTGGTGTAGTGGGTTCAAGCCCTGGTCAAAGCACCATCCCAAAAAATATGGAAAACGGTTTTTTCTTAACAGCGGTCGTCCCGGGGTAGGCAATGGCAAACCTCCGAGTGTATTTCTGCCATGAAAAATAGCTTCGCATAAAAATACAATCGCCGTTAGGAGCCGGCGTAAAACCGTAGGTCCCTCCGCTTTGTGTGACAACATCAAGTCAGAGGAGAATCTCGGCCAAACACTAATATATGTGTAAGCGCCAATCTATTATTATTATTATTACGCCGATACAAATAAATAAAAATTAATGCTTCTTACTCGGCGGTCGAAGATTCGTTATTCATTTTACTGTTAGGAGATGCTGGTGCTTTTTTTTAATATTCGAAAAAAATATAACAAATTCAGCCCAAATTAAATGTCTAAAGATCGATTCCTGGCCTCAGAAACATGGTCGTTTTTGCAGTCAATGGCAATTACCGTATGAAATTCTGGCATGATTGAAAGTGCTGCCACTTATTTTTTTGACAAACATATGCTCTATCGCTTATGATTGTCATTGTACCATGATTTTGTTTCCATATTTGTAAAGCTCCTTACGAAAATTCTCTAAATTTAACTTCCATTTTTATTTCAGATTTACAGTTTTGGTGTTTTCAAACTAAAACAAAAAGCACCAAAAAACGCACCAAGCACCAAACTCAAAAATTTTCGTGTTTTGAATTAAGAAAAGCACTAAATGTAGTGCGAAAAGCACTAAGTTGGCAACAGTGGTTAAGTGTACATACCCAACGGGACTGAAAGTTAGCTGCTCCCCAAAGGAGCAAGTATGGAGCAGTACAAAAGCAAAGTAAAAAATAAATTTTTAAATTTCTAACAATGCTCAGAAATAAATATCATTTTGAGTAGTAACATAAATTTTTTTTTTTTGAAAAAAAGTGCATTTACCCACTAGAACTTGAAGGGAGATCTCCCAATGTGAGGAATAAAAGAGTTGGCCTGATTTCGGAGCAATAGGGGAGATTTGTTGGTTCTGACCTCCTTTATAACTCGCTTAGGAGTCAAATCGAAGATCTCCTAACTGAGCAAAAAAGAATACTCCCAGAGCCATGATTTTGGAGCAATAAACGATTTTTTGTCGATTTTGTACTCCTTTATTACTCATTTAGGAGCCAACCGGGAGATCTCCCAAGTGAGCAATAAAAGAATACTCCCTGAGGCATGACTACGGAGCGATAACTGAAATTTGTCGGTTTTGTACTCCGTTATTACTCGCTTAGGAGCAAAAAGCGATGTCTCCTAAGAGAGTAATCCAGGAGTATTCCTTTTGATTGATAGGGGAGCTATAGGCACCTCGTTCAAAAGCAATTGCGTATTATTGGAAAAGTGTATCATAAGGAAAACTACAGAAAATATTTCATATAGAAACAATATAAGGAGGATGCAATAATTGAATGTCGATAGCACACAGGTAAATTAAGGTCCATCGGTATGTATTGCAACTTCTATTTAAATTAATTAAATGTTGTGTTATATATCGCTAAATAATTTTCAGATTAGCAAATTAGTGTCAGAATTTACGTATAACCACCTGGTTTTAACGCTCATATAATGCCGGCCCAGAGCTTTTACTGGGGGACATAGCTATCAGATGGGCTAAGTAACCTTCACATTGATCGTGGTTAAAAAAAGAAAGTTTTATACACCCTCCCTATTCGCGTGAGCTCCTGAACACCCAAGCATCCCTGACACCAGGAAATCATGTAGATATCTCAATATTTTATTATTATTCTGTTTTACTTTGAATGCATTTGCCCGCATTAGAATTCCAATATTAATCGAAAATGTAATAAGTATTACTTATGTATGTTTTGTCTGATCTCGTACTTATAGGTATCTGTTAAGATCTTTTAATATTGTATACATGCATGAGATTAAAAAATTAAATAAATCGATTGCGTAAATAGCAAAATCTTTTAGCTTATATGTGAGGCAATGAAAAGCTCTTTTATTACTCGTACAGGAGGCTTTCGGGATGCCTCTCATGGGAGCACTCCCTTATCGATCGTTCGGGAGGAATGTGGAATGTTTTTCTATGTGTACTCCCTTGTTGTCTTATAGGTATAGGGGAGGATTTTATGGGAGTACTCCCGTATTGCTCCCTTAGGAGGTTTTTGGGATGATATTTCTGTGTGTGCTCCCCGATCCCTTTTACCTCCTAAACGAGCAATCGCGGAGCACACACAAAAATATCATCCCACAAACCTCCCAGACGAGCAATACGGGAGTACTCCCATAAAAACCTCCCCTATACCTCCCAAAAAGACAACAAGGGAGTGCACATAGAAGAATATCCTATATACCTCCCGAACGAGCAATAAGTGAGTACTCCCATGGGAGGCATTCCGAAAGCCTCCTGTACGAGTAATAAAAGAACTAGAAGATTTTGCTATTTACGCAATCCATTTATTTAATTTTTGAAGTGAAACTTCTTTAGCGGCGGTTGGTTGGTTGGGAGTAAATTGTAATTGTAAATTCAGCGGAAATTGCACACGGAAATGGTTGGGGCTGAAACAAGTACTTCTTGTGTCTATGCAACGGAAATGATGCAACGGAAATGGTGCAACGGAAACGGTGCAACGCAAATGGTTGGTGCTGAAACAAGTGCTTCTTGTGTGTATGCATATGGTGTTAATTTAACAAAAATTTGCTAATAAAAGGTTAAAGAATAACACTTAGAATAAGACCAATACAAGCAAAGGTAAAAATAAAAATAAAAATAAAAACAAAGATGCGTAAGGATAAAGGCAAAAATGAAGACCAAGGTAAATTTAAACGCTTTACTTATATATATAAGGGCAAATGTGAAGGGGAATATGTAGCTGAAAAAAATGTTGATCATAAAAGTAAAGACAAATAGGAGGATGAGGATACCGAAGAAGGAAGATTAAAATAAAGGTAATTAAAGACAAAATAGATAAATACTGATGGAAAAATCGATAAATATCGATAAAATAATCGATATTTTTATCGGTTTTGTTATCGATATTTATCGTTTTTGTTATCGATATTTACCGATTTTGTTACCGATATTCATCGATTTTGTTATCGATTCTTATCGATTTTGTTATCGATATTTATCGACTTTGTTAGCGATGTTTATCAATTTTGTTATCGATATTTATCCGATTTTGTTATCGATATTTATTTTTAAAGTAAAACAGAATAATAATAAAACGGCAAGATAACTACATGATGTCCTGGGTATCAGGGATGCATGGGTGTTCAGGAGTTCACGCAAATAGGGAGAATGTATAAAAGTTTCTTGTTTTAATGTTGAGGTGACTTTGCCCATCTGATATCTTTGCCACCCAGTAAAAGATCTGGACCGGCGTGATATGAACGTTAAAACCACGGAGTCATGCGTAAGTGCTGACACTCCTACTAATTTGCCAAATCTGAAAAGTATTTAGCGGTATCTAATACAATATTTAATAAATTTAACCAAAAGTTTCAATACATACCGACGGACCTTCAAATAAATAGCACACATTAAATTATTGCATCCTCCTTATATTTGAGGGATTCACAACGGTGTCATAAGTGTCGTATTGTTGTATGTCGTAAGCTTTAAAAGCTTAAATAAACGTTGGGAGACCTCGAAACGACAACCAACTATTTTTTAACACAGCAAGAATTCATAATAGACTTTGATGGTATTTTGCAAACCCCCTTAATATACTTTTTTGCGTTAAAGTTTACGACATACAACAATACGACACTTACAACGCCGTTGTGAATACCCCAATTGTTTCTATAGTTCTGTAGTTTTCCTTATGATAAGTTTTTCCAATAACACAAAAATTCTGTTGAACGAGGTGCCTATAGCTCCCCCATAAATCAAAAGGAATACTTCTGGATTGCTCTCTTAGGAGACATCGCTTTTTACTCAGTTATAGCTCCGAAATCATTCTTCAGCGAGTATTCTTTTATTGCTCACTTGGGAGATCTCCCGTTTGGATCCCAAACGAGTAATAAAGGAGTATAAAGTCGACAAAAATCGTTTATTGCTCAAAAATCATGCCTCTGGGAGTATCGTTTGTTGCTCGCTTAGAAGATCTCCTATTTGACTCCTAAGCAAGTTATAATGGAGTTCAAAACCGACAAATCTCTCCTATTGATCCGAAATCAGGACAAAGGGAGCAATCTTTTATTCCTCACATTGGGAGATCTCCCTTCAAGTTCTAGTGGGAATTAACTTTTTTTCAAAAGAAAATATTTTATGTTACTTATCAAAATGATATTTATTTCTGAGCATTGATAAAAATAAAATATTTTTTTTTTTACTTTGCTTTTGTACTACTCCCTACTTGCTCCTTTGGGGAGCAGCTCACTTTCAGTCCCGTTGGGTAGGAAGAGAGCGCTTACTGCTGAATATAGACAGCTCCAATATAACTAATGGAGCGCTTGTGGCCCCGTCGGATACATACATACATACATACATATATATATATATATATATATATTTACGAATTTCAAATTTTATTAAGAAATTTTTGTTAACTTTTTGGTACATATGGTAATAATGTGCAAGTTTGAATTTAAATTCAACGGTAC